TCGATGCCAGAAGGATCCGAATTCATTCATTACGCACAAAAATGGTTGCAATCACCTACAGACGAGACATGCCCTCTCGGCGGTTTGGCTCCTTATAGCAATGCCCTAGTTCTCGATTCAAAACTCGTCATGACAAACGCAAGCCATTTCCGAACGAGCCACACTCCCTTGCGTAGCCAGAAAGACTTCATCAAAGCGTATGCCTCTGCTCGTCGTATTGCTGACGGCATCTCACAAGAGCACGGTATCGATGTTTTCCCTTACTCCAAATTCTATATATTTTTCGACCAGTATACGTCTATTATTCGCCTCACGGGAACATTGCTCGGGTGCGCAACTGCGATCATTTTTGTTGTCACATCTATTTTCGTCGGTTCTATAGCCACAGGCGCAGTCGTAACCGCAACAGTGATTATGACTGTTGTCGATATCATCGGAACCATGGCTATTGCTAATGTTTCACTAAATGCCGTCTCGCTGGTTAACTTAATTATCTGTGTCGGTATCGCGTTTGAGTTCTGTGCACATGTTGCACGCGCTTTCATGTTCCCTTCTAGCCCACTCTTGGAGCAGGCTCGAGGTAAATTCCGACATCGTACTGCACGCTCGTGGGTGGCATTGGTCAATGTTGGCAGCAGTGTCTTCACTGGCATCACTGTCACCAAACTTCTAGGTGTCTGTGTGCTCGCATTTACAAGAAGCAAAATATTTGAAATCTACTATTTCCGGATTTGGCTGGCACTGGTAATATTTGCCGCGTCGCATGCACTGATATTTTTGCCAGTTGCCTTAAGCTTCCTTGGTGGTGACGGTGAGTTCGTTCCTGCTGTTAATTTGTGAATTTTGCGATGTTATGTACTGTATTTGTTCATCGAACTGATGCGATTTATGATTTCCTATTAGGATATTGTGATCCTCAAACAGACGGCGGCCTGGAAGAGGACCTCGCCGCGCGAAGATACCGATCGTTGTTGCCCGATGACTATGATTCCGAGGACGACTCGTGAATTACTCTTCAGTGTATCTGATATGGATCGTGTTAATTCGCTTTATGGAGCAGTTGTTTTCCTTAATTGACCATTCAGATAACGTCCTTTATTCATCCGTTATTGAGATCGTATTCGTACCCAAACCCGATCACCATAGGCATACAGGAGTATCGGAAACCCAAGGGAGTTTGGATGATGGAAGAACAATGGAAGAACCATGATTGATATTCCTGGTTCCTGGTTCATGTACTGTATATGCAATGTGGTTTACCTTACGCAAGAACATGGTTCTTTTCTTCGCGCACGTATTGGGCTTGGACGTTCGGCAGCCTTTTCGATTTTGGATATTGGCGCTGACAGTCGGCCCGCGCTTGTTTTTACAACACAATCTAGACGCAGATATGCTGTTTTGCATGATATGACATCAATCTCATCTCGACAAAATGGCTCCATTGGGTCTCCAATGATGTAAACAAAGCAAACAGCACTTCTCCTAAGCCTCACTAAAGTAGACTAGCGCCCGCCCAAAAGAAAAAAATACTACTCGACAATTTCAACATCCCACTTCAACGTCCTTGTTTTCTCTCCTTTGTCCCCTCTACAATTCTCTCTTTTTATCCTCTATCTCTTCCCTCCTATTTAAGGCTTGGGAAGCGTTTTCAATAGGGGTAGTTGAGAGATCCTATACCAGCTGCCTGACTTTTCCATATATTCCTGATCCACTATCAAGGTCCCCTCATCTGTGCAAGCGGAAAGCGTGCTCTGCAGAGTTGTCCATCATGGACCAGCAGCGGTTCTTGCAACAACTGCAAATTGTCCTCGATCGTGAGTAATTGAGCCAGATATATTTGTATGATATTGGAGAATATTACAGCACGGGATATCTCTGACTTGCATCGTTTTTATCGGTATTTGACAGCCTCAAAGGGCAACGTCAAGGAAGCTACTGGCACGCTTAAGAAGGAATTCTATACCCACCCAGAATCCCTCCTTTTCCTCATTCAGGTCGCCACCTCCCATGATGACCAGAACCTGAGACAACTTGCTGCTGTTGAATCTCGAACCCTCGTCTACAAGCATTGGCTCAAGATCCCTGTGGAACAAAAACCTCAGGTTAGGGAACAGTTACTCCGTGCTGCCTTAGGGGAAGGCACCTCCTTGGTTCGCCATTCCTGTGCACGTATCATTTCTGCTATTGCGAAGATTGATATCGAAGACGGGCAATGGGCAGATCTCCCGGGGTTTCTGCTTCAAGCTGCCGTAAGTCCCAAAGCTGACGAGCGGGCTACCGGTATTTACATCCTCTTTACCATCCTCGAAACTCTAGGTGAGGGTTTCCAGGAAAAGTTCAACGACCTCTTCGCTCTGTTTGAGCAGACTATCCGTGATCCTGAGAGTGCTGAGGTCCGCATCAACACCCTCCTGGCATTGAGCAAACTGGCGATCCATCTCGACTCCGAAGAGGATGAGGCACCGGTCAAGGCTTTCCAGAATATTTTCCCTGCCATGGTCGCTGTGTTGAAAGATTCGATTGACAAAAACGACGAGGATCGGATACTGCAGGCTTTTGAGGTTTTCCAAACCCTCCTTGCGTGCGACCCGCAGTTGATGAACCCTCATCTTAAGGACCTCGCGTTGTTCATGAACCAGCTTGCTGCCAACACCGAGTTGGATGATGACACCAGAACTCAGGCCATTAGTTTCCTCATGCAATGCCTCCGGTATAGAAAACTCAGGATCCAAGGCATGCAAATTGGCAGCCAGATTACCCTTACTTGTCTTCAGATCGCTACTGAGCTTGGCGACACTGCCGTGGACGACGATGACATTACTCCAGCAAGATCGGCGCTTGGTCTCCTGGATATGCTTGCACAAAGCCTTCCACCCAGCCAGGTTGTCGTCCCTCTCCTCAACGCCCTGGGTCAATACTTTGGCAATAAGGATCCCGAATATCGGCGCGCCGGCATCATGGCTCTTGGCATGTGCGTCGAGGGTGCTCCTGACTTCATAAGCACTCAGATGAAGGAGATTTTCCCTGTCGTATTCCAATTACTTAACGACCCTGAACCTAAGGTTCGCCAGGCAACATTACATGGTGTTGCGCGAATTGCCGAATCTCTCGGTGAGGATATCAGCAAACAGCATCAACAAGTTATGCCTCTCCTCTTGAAAAACCTGCAGAGCACAATGCAGGAGTGGAAAGGCGAGGAAAGCGGCCCTGTCATCGACATCATGAAAGCCGCCATCAGCGCATTGGATGCGGTGGTTGATGCTCTGGGCGAGGGTGATGTTGTCCAATATCAAAACGATGTAGTGCCAAATTTGCACAAGCTTATCAAACATCCCGACTTCAAGGTGAAAGCGCTTACAGCTAGCGCTCTTGGATCCATTGCTTCGTCTGCTGGTGAAGCTTTCTTACCCTTCTTCGATGAGTCAATGCATCTCATGCAGGATTACGTTACCATGAAAGACAGTGAAGATGAGCTTGAACTTCGCGCGTGTGTCACTGACGCTATGGGAGAAATGTCTACTTCAGCTGGACCAGAACACTTCAAGAACTACGTCGAACCCTTGATGCGTGCTAGTGAGGAGGCTCTGCAGCTTGGTCATTCCAGACTAAAGGAAAGCACCTACCTTTTCTGGGGCTCTATGTCCAAAGTATACGGTGAAGACTTCACTCCATTCTTGGATGGAATCGTCAAGGGACTCTTCGCATGTCTCGACCAGGAGGAGACTGATCTTGAGGTTGATCTGGGCGAGGCTGCCAAAGACCTCATTGGGCAGGAAGTTACCATTGCAGGCCGCAAAGTTCGCGTCGCTGGTGATGAAGACGACGACCATGACACTTCTGTGCTGGATGAGTCTAACATTGAGGATGTCGATATCGATGGTGAGGATGACTGGGAGGACCTAACCGCTGTCGGTCCTCTCGCCCTTGAGAAGGAGGTTGCCGTCGAGGTCATTGGTGATATCATCACGCATGCCAAAAAAGCTTATCTTCCATATTTTGAGAAGACCATCGAACAGATCTTGCCTCTTTGCGAACATCCATATGAGGGTATCCGGAGGAGTACTATCAGCACCCTTCACCGCGCGTACGCTGCCCTCTGGCAGGTTTGTGAAGAGTCTGGTCGGATGCAGAAATGGGTTCCGGGCAAGGCGATGGGTATGATCGAACCACCCGATGAGCTCAAGAAACTTACAGAAATTTTGGTCACTGCCACAATCAAGATGTGGGAAGATGAAGAAGACAGGTACATATACAACTATTTTCCCTTTTATTATCTTTTCCAACCTTTCATCGCTTTTATTGCGCTTTTCCTTGCAAATATATTCTCTATGATGACACTCCTTCGTAATCCCAGCTCACTCATACACACAAAATGTGTGACTGATGTTAAAGCGAAAACTTCCATCGTGAAGCTGAGAAATATATAATTGCTTGTGTTTCAATGTGAACATATGTTGTTTCAATTTACCGGATTTTATCTGTTTCAAGAAATCTATTCGCCTACTAATATTGCTGTCTGTTTAGGGAGACCGTTGCTGACATTAACCGCAATGTCGCTGAAAACCTCAAATATTGCGGGCCATACCTTGTCTCTGGTTCATCCGTTCTGAACAAAGTCGTTACTATGATCACTACTATCATCTCTAAGCAACACCCCGCTCAACAGGATTTTGGTGCTGATGACGAAGACCGAGCTGCCCTCGACGAACTGTCTGAGTTCGATTGGGTTCTCATCGACACTGCCTTGGACGTTATTTCCGGTCTTGCCATTGCCCTTGGCCGTGATTTCCTTGGCCTATGGCCTCACTTCGAGAAAAAAGTTCTCCAGTTTGTTGGCAGCAGCGAACCTCTCGAACGATCCACCGCCACAGGGGTCTTGGCCGAAATTATTTTCGGGTTAGCCGACGCCATTACGCCGCATACTACCAAATTCCTTGAGTTGCTACTGCGCCGTTTAAGTGACGAGGATTCCCAAACAAAAAGCAATGCTGCCTACGCGATCGGACGACTTGTCGAACGATCTAATGCGGATCAAGAAGTAATTCAGGCTTATCCCGCCATCCTAGAGAAGTTGGAGCCATGCTTGCATATCCCGGAGGCGAGACTTCCAGATAACGCCTCTGGTTGCCTCAGCCGCATGATCTTGAAACACCGTGACAACGTCCCTGTGGCAGATGTGCTTTCTGCCCTAGTTGATCTCCTTCCCCTGAAGAACGATTTTGAGGAGAACGACCCCGTCTATCGCATGATTTGCCAGCTGTGTATGTTTCAGTTCCCCTCTCCTTTCAAACTGACACATGTTCTCTAACAGGATTTTCAGACAAATGGGAAGACCCAACAGTCCGCAACCTGACACCTCGTCTAATTCCCATTTTCCAAGCCGTTCTTACCGGTGACTCAGGCCAGCTCGATGATGAACGGCGTGCCGAGCTCATCGAGCTTGTCTCCTGGTTGAATAAAATGCAACCCGGAGTGGCTAGCTGGATCGAACAACCGGGTCAATGAACTTCCCATTTTAACGACTTCGAGAACGAGAACCAACGACGATATGGTACAAAATAGATTTTTTTTTATTCCCTTTAATTTTTGCTTTTTATGTTTCAACGAAATGCATTATGATGTAGATACAAAAACACCCTCTTCGGTTTTACTGCTGGCGCGCACGCTAAGCGGATGATGTGTTAAAATGAGAATGTGCATTAACACGGATTGGAATGGGAAGGACTGGAATCCAGAACATTGGGTAAAAGAGATATAATGTCGGCATAGTGACGACGGATGAATGGATGGATATTCGAATGAAGAGAAGTAATACACAACAATATACCCCCACGGTGAAATGTGCATGAGGCAAACAAGGGAGAACCATACGACTGTGGATAAAAGCATATACTTTACAGAGCTTGATAATTTCAGATGATATTTCCTTTTACATATTTGATTTCAGAGCTTCCTGTTCAGATCAGGTGGTGTTGAGCATGTATCGGCTGAAATCATAGGATTTTGAGTTATTTGTTACTACGTAATTGGGGGCATTAGCATTCCTATTTTATATTAATTATAATTTAACCATGTAAATTACATAAAAAACATTCAATGAATGAAAATATCAGCCATCTGTCCTACGAAATGGTGAGATGGTCAGGGAATAGGAAAGCTCCAAAAAGTCCTCTTTGCGAGTGCGCTCCTAATACCCGCATCTCCCTGGTGGCATCTAGATGTCCTGGACCTTTACAATGACCTTCCCCTGTAAGTGTTTCGTCATACTCTTCCCATAAGCCTGCATGCGAAACGAGCGATGTCAGCCAAGCCAGCAACCCCCTTTCTAGCGTAGATTTAAATGGAAATTCGCAAGTTTTCAATATGACAACAAACGTACCTTCATCACCTCGCCCATCTCCCAAGTCGAATCCACAACAGCCTTCAATTTCCCATCCGCTACCATCCTCTGCACCTTCTCCATCCTCATCTTGGAGGGCTCTGTCCTGACAAGAGAATAGCCGCCGGGGCCCCCGCCTAGGAAGCTGGGGAAATACATGGCCCTCAGAAACCAAATGGCTGTACGGAAGAGACTGACGACGGTTGTAGGTGGGTAGAGAATCCCGATGTTGAGGTATCTATGTGGGCGGTCGCGGGTGGGGCGGGCAACATAGTCGGCACTATGTTCGAAGAGCGACTGGATGCCGATGGTGTCAAGGATGACATCGAAGGGAGAAGTGGAGTAGCGGGCTGCGAGGTATTCGTGCAGGGGATCGTGCTTGGTATAGTCGATGGTCTGTTCAGAGATATTAGAAGAAGTAGTCTGCCGGGTTGTACGAATGGCTACAGCTCCTATTTTCCATTTTTCGTCTTGACAGTGCATACCTCATCAGCCCCCATGCTCTTAACCAGCTCTTCATTCCGCGCAGAGCAGGTCGCCACAAGCATGCCTGTTTCGCCCAGAATATCCTTCACAATTTGCACAGCCATCAATCCCGTCCCCGAACCACCGCCATTGATCAGCACCTTATCCCCCTTCCTCACCTCCGCTCTCGTAACAAGATTCATCGATGTACATCCTGTGGCTGTTATTCCCGCCGCCTCCTCAAGAGATACATTACTAGGCTTCTGGACCAGGCTCTCTGCAGTCGCAACGACGTATTCCGCTAGTGTGCCACGGTTCTTGAGGACCATTTCGCTAACAGGAGCATTCATGCCCATGACTGGGGTGCCGAGTGGGAATTCCGCGCGGAGGGACGCATTTGCATAATCAGAATGCGCGATGACGACACCTGAGAACTCAAATTCGGAGACCCGTGGTGGCGTCTTCGGAAGTAGGATGGTTGGACACGCGGACATAACGAGCCGTGTGGTAGGATTTATGGAGGCATGGGAAACTTTTATGAGGAGCTCTGAAGGGGCAAGTTTTGAGGGAGACGGGACCGGGTGGTCTGTGGATAATGTGAGGGTATCCAAGGGAGAGCCGGCTTTCGAGTAGGTCCATGCCTTCATTGTTGGCGGAAGGGGAAGTGGATAGTCTGCAGGATCACTGCTCGATGGAGCCATGGGGAGAATAGGTATCTGGATCCGTTGACTGTATCACGTATGCTCTGACAGTTGTTGGAGTACTAGTAGTACTCGGATAGCTCAGAAGGATTTGGATATAAAAGCAACATTTCTCGGTGGAAGAAATAATGAACAAAGGAAAAATTGGGCCCATAAAGGTATATTTATCTCACCCCTTTACATGCTACATCATCCATTCGGCATTATAAGTGAGTTCGGCCACGTTCCTATTCGGAGATATGGCCATTTGACGAATTGTGACGCCCACAGAAGGGCGGAACCAACACTTAGGAGAGAGTTCCGAAAGGCGAGCACTATACATATTCCATATGCTCCGAAAGCGTCGGCCGTAGCCAGTGCATTATCTCGGTATCCCAGTTGGCAATGCGCAGAGGGAAAACCTCATCGAGAGCAAGTCTCGAGCATAAATTATTTAGGGTTTCGGCGCCAAAATAGGGGGCGAGCCGGCAGAAAAGAAACATGCAGCAAGCACCGAACCACCGACTTGGATTTTGAAAGCTTTCCGCATCGACCGCCGAGTGGATTTTAGCACGTACTGGATGGCTGGTCTGCTTTCCGTGGGGGGACCCATTAATATGGAAGAACATAGGTCGGAGGTCATTCGAAAGACCGATCCCATCTGTAGACCGTAAACTTTCGATCCGATGCTTGCTGCCAGGCCACACAGTGCCGTTTCGACCAGATATCTGAAGTTCCTGAACGCATATCTTTGTCTCGTGCTAGGTGTTTATCAATCTTCGGGGCTTTCGGCTGTAGCAGAGAAACAGAAGGCTGAATTGAGCATTCGTCTCTGGGAGGGTTTATGCCCCACTAGTCTCTTATTGCATATTTAATGGGAGACGAGTTGAGCATGCCATCTTAGACTGAGCGATTCATCGATTCATATGCCCAGAAGATGGTCTCGCTATATTTTTAAGTTACCAATCGCGGAATGTCCGTTTCAGCAGTCTTTGAGTGAACCTCGGAACATCCTAATGTGGAAATGTTCTACAACTTAACTAGTATTGTGGTGGATGTAAAGCTTGTGAAAACAGAATTTTCTGCCACCCCCTGAAAAGTAGTAGCAAAATACTGCAAAAATAACCAAAATATCCATGTATCTCTAGAATCATTCAAATATCATTCAATTCATTCAAATATGCATCTTTATCATCAAATATACATCTTTATCATCAAATCTGTCAATATATTCTCTCAGCTCAGTGAATTTACTATCAATGAAATCATACATCTTCTAAACAATAATTATATATCTGCTCAGATTGTGCAGATCATTGAGTATCATCTAATTACTGTATATTGAATTCAATAAAATATTCACTGCTTTGAAACTGCTAGAAGTTCTCATTTAATATAAGATGTAAAGTCAAAGATCACACTGAATATCTTATCAGATTTGAAGGATTTTTTTGAGATATATTCAACTATATATCACAATAAGACTGTCTGCTTTATGAAGAATGAATTTAATATTGATATTCACTCTCAATCAATATCTAGATTATTGAAGAAACTGAATTTGATATGAAAAAAAATAATTAATTATTGTAATTATCATTTATAAAATCTACTAATTCATCAGTTCTATTTAATATAGATTGAATCTGTAGCCACTCAATACAATAAAGAATTTTAAGCTGAATAATATATTCAAGTTATTTAGTATCAATCTGATCAATTTATATTTTTAGATAAAAATACTGTAAATAAATATACTGTAGATTGATAATATAAATAATTAAACAGAGGATTTTTTTATTATATTAGAAGACTCTGTAAACAATCTTACAGATGATCAATTTTATCTATAATAAATATCAATAAATATTTTGATTATAATATATATCAGAGATTCTATAATACAGAGAGATTCAATGAGTTTGTATATATCTAAATACTATTCAAATATTAATAAGATTATCACTATCTAGTAATAAATAATTACTTTTTTTATTATTTATAAGCATTGTGAGATCTCTGCAGAGAAGCTGATATTGAACTTTTATTTTTATTCTTATATTTTTCTGATTATAATTCTATAGAGAAGTTATTTCATATGTTGAAAAAATGAATTAAAAGATACAGATATATAATGAGTTAGTATCTATTAGCAGTTAACTTACATAATCAACTCTCTACTGCACATTTATATACTCATATATATTTATAAAGTTCTTTTATATCTTCTTACAATTCTATTTTATAATTATATATATCTTAATACTCTAATAATTCTTTTACTCTGTATTTCTTCAGAGTATAATCTCTGATATTTCTTCTACTCTGATTTTCTTATCTATAAGAATTCTTTTATATAACTTCTTTCTCTGATTTTCTTTCTCTTTTTTTTCTTAATTAATTTGTAAACTGTTATTAGAATAATGTTAAATTTATTAATAGTACTATTGAAATGAATTATATAAACTGTGTAGATGATATAAATGATTTAATCTGTAATATTGATAATATCTACTTAATCAGTAGTATATTTATTATATTATAAATTGATTTATCTGTATTTAAGATTCAAATGTCTAGTTGTTAGATTTCTATACTCAAATATATTAATTATATTTAAAGTCTGAATATTTTATTATCAGTTTCTATATTTAAATATATTGATTACATTAAAAAAGATCTGAGTATCTAGTTATTATATAAGTTTTTTATTGAGTTCAAGTACTTTTATTATTAGATATATAGACTGTTGAGTTTAAATATTTATAATACAATTGACTGTTTTATAAAGAGATCTGAATGTCTATAAACTGTAATACTGTAAATAATATTTATAAAAAAGCTTGATAAACTTAATACTGCAATACTGTAAATAGTATTTATAAGAATCTGAATATCTATAAGTATTCTATTTTTTAGAATTATATATCTTTAAATATTAAAATAAGTTATCAACAGATCTATAAATATTCACTGTATTTAAATATAGTGAATAATAATCTAAATTTATAAAATATTCTTCAGTAATAAATACTGTAGATGACTGAGTTATAATAACAGTTTACTGAGATAAATATATCTATATTCATCATTTTCTCTACATCTGTATCTTATAAGAAGTTCTCAAGAGAGAAGCTCTCAATTCTCAATAAGTATATAAAAAATCTAGTATTATATCTTATATAAAAGTTAAAAGTAAATATTAAATTGAATATTGATGATTAAGTAATAGATTTATCATTGAATTAAATATGATATATTCACAGCAGATTAGATGATAATGTATTAGTAAAATTTCAACTCTGAATAAATCACTGCTCAGACAATCAATATATATCAGAGCTAGTTTTTCAATAATTTGATACTCTTTTTCTTAATTCTACACTTCAAATTAAAATATTAGACTGACTAAATAAAATCCACTAGAAAAATATTATATTAATAATCTATCTATCTGAATTCAATTACAAACTCTTAAAAGTAGACAGACAGAACTGAGATGATATCATCAAAATTAATATACTATTCAAAAATTTGAACTTTCAGCTGTATAATTGAAATATAGAATATCTGAAATTCTTAATATACAGTAAATACTGTACAGATCTCTATCTATTCAATAACAATTTATTTTAATTTTATATATTTCAGAATTACAAAGAATTCTGCTGAATAAATATATATATTTTAAATTATTTTATAATAATCTTCATATTCAAATCAGAGTCAATGAACTGAATCTCTTATATAAATATCAGATATTTAAAAGTTTTCAATATCTTAGATAAAAATATTATCAACTGAATTATCAGAGAAATCTGCATATATTATAATAAGTCAGAGTACTTTATAAATTAGTATTTAAATACAGTTTTTTCAAGTTAATTCTCTGTATATATGAATACTGTGTCATCTATAAATAGATAAAAACAGAGAAAAAAAAAGCTCTTATTTTAAAATATAGATAAAAATTTAAAAAGTAATAAATCAGCTGAAGATTCAAATAGAAGATATAAATAAACACAATTATAATTTCTATTATTATAAATAGTCTAATTAATATATATACAATAATAAACAGTGATTTTTTTTATTATACTTTTATAAATATTCAGCTGATAGAGAAGTATAAGCTTTAATATATCTCTTTCTCTGAACTATATAAATTAAGTAAATTTAATAACTCTAGAGAATTTATCTTCTACAATATAATAAAATTCAATATCAATATAGAAGAATATAAAAAGAAGAGTGTTTTTATATATAAAGTACAGAATTTTGAGTATGATTTAATACTCAGTCTATTATAGCTTACAGAATTTAAAATCTTATTAGATATATATAATTATTATTTTATTTTTTCAGAAAATAATTATATCTATAAAAAGAATATTAATAGAACTGCTGATCTCATTCAGATATCAGCAGAAGCATTCAAATTATTAACTTATTAAATATATAAAAAAAATATTCAGATGTTCACTGCTAGTATAACAGATATTAAAAAAGTATTAAAAAAATTAAAACTCAAAAATCTCAAAAAGCTCTGTAAAGAACTTCTTAAAATATACAAGAATTTCACAGATATATTTAATAAAAAAATAACTGAGATATTTCTCTTTTATCAAGAGTATAATATAGATTATATAATTGAGTTTATTAAGAAAAATAGTAAGAATCTGCAATTATCTTAAAACTCTCTCTACAGTATATTATATAACAAGCTTTTTATTCTATAAAAAATATTCAATGAATTACTGAATAAAAACTTTATTTATATTAGCAATTTATCTACTGCAGTATCTGTATTATTTATAAAAAAATTAGATGAAGATCTATAATTCTATATTGATTATCAAGAGCTCAATAAGATTATATAAAAAAACTGATATTCTCTTTCATTTATCAATAAAATACTCAAATAAATAGAAAAAGTGAAATAATTTATAAAACTCAACATCTCTGCAGTCTTCTACAAGATAAGAATCAATAAAAATAATGAATAATTAATTATTTTTTAT